CTTCATTTAGAAAATTCAGATCTAAGGATGGAGAATTAAAGGCTATTTTTATTTTCACTAGCTTTCTTAATTGACTCATATATTTTTCGTTTTAACTCGGATTTTAATTTTTTTTGCACAGATGGAACGAGTTCACCGTGCTCTACAAAATGAGATCAATTTTCAATATTTTTTTAGGAAAAAAAATTCTGGCCTCTCGGTACCAACTGCATACCATATGGTATCTTATTCGTTTTTAATTCATTTTTGAAAACGTTTGCACAGCAGGGATGAGTTCATCATGATCTACTGGATCTACAAATTTCTGGGTGAACAAATTACAGGACCAAAAAATACCACACAATACCATACAATACCACCCTGGTACAGGGTGGTATTGTATGATATCTTCTTCATTTTTAATTCGTTTTTGAAAACGTTTGCACAGAAGGGACGAGTTCATCATGATCTATTGAATCTACAAAATTTCTGGGTGAACAAATTACAGGACCAAAAAATACCACACAATACCATACAATACCACCCTGGTACGGGGTGGTATTGTGTGGTATACAATGTTAAAAGTCGTAAATTACAATTAATATACTTCTACTATCATGTATTCAACCATCCTACGGTACTGGTTTGTTCATACCACCATGGTACGTTTTTCAAAACATAGGTATGCTTTTATTTCAATACCAGTCAATACCATATGGTATAGGCTGGTAAAAAATGGCTCAATTTTTTTTGTTCGAAAAATATATTAAAGTGGATATCATTTTGAAGAGCACAATTAATCTGATCTAACTGTGCAAAAAAATTAAATTTCGACTTAAAATGAGCGAGAAATCGTCCATCAAAGATTAAAGAGGGAAAAATTAAAGGCTTTCCATGAGAGAGAGGATGCTGATGTCATGCTGATGTGGACGGGTTACTCATGGTTACTCACAATAAAGTTACTGACCTGATCCATTCCCCGTAGAAGAACCAGATCCAGAAGCAACAGATGGAGCAGCTAAAAGATTTGGAAAATTATCAATTGATGCGCTACTTTATATATAACTACCCCACACCAATGCCTTCCCGTTCTCAAAATCGCTTCGCACATTAGGGTTTGTGGGTCAAGTTTTTTTCAAGCAATTCTCAGAGCAATTGGCGTCCGTGTCCCGTCGTCGTCGGTTCCAGCATTGGGTTTGTCAAGGATTGGGTTTCTTCTTCTTGGTGAGAGAGGCTAGCTCATGTTCGCTCATTCCTCATAGAACCCCTTCGAATCCCGCATCTCAAGCTATTACCTTCATAACAGAGCACAGAATGGTGAAGAAGAGGGAGAAAGAAAAACAAGGAAGATGGAGCTGAGCTGTTAGTGATCGTAGATTCGAGGAACGAATGATTTTTTGTTTTAATGGAGATCGTGAACTGATCTTTCTGGATACAGGGAAGCATCGCGGAGGAGCCTTGAGTTAGGAGTAGTTCCTTTGGAAGACAGAGCATCCACGTGGTGCATCTCGACGGAGAAAATGGAGTCCGCAGATCTCGGATCTCCGCAGGCCGATGAAGTTGAGGGCTGGGAAAAATGGGTGGGCGATATTACTGATGGAAGAGAGAAGGGGAAGGGTCGTTCGAGGAAAGGAAGCCGAAGAGAAGGGCGGATCTGCCATCGTCTCATCTCCCACCCCTTCCACCGTGCCGTTCAGTCGCCGGGGATATTGAAATAGAGCAAAGGAAATCGTGCATCTCGACGCAATCTTTACAGATCTCGGTTCGAAGACAACCATTTCTCTGGGCAACGCCAACGGTGGATCTACTTCTAGAACCAATTGTAGCCCCGGCGAGGAGGCGGTTGTGTTACAGAGGAATTCTTCCAAACAGAATGAAGGAGAGATTAAGAGAGACGATAATTTCTCTTTTTTTTATCTTTTTATATAACTAAAAGGTAACCTTTTCCACCATTAAATATTTTTAATTAATTTATGTCGAGTAATTAGTAAATTATTAAAAAATATGACGTGTCACTTTTGGCTTAATTGGCGCTGATGTGTGCGCTGAGTTGGAACCTAGTCAGCGAACTATCAAAAAAGTTGACGGTGTTACTAACACCGTTAAAGTATCTAACGGAAATGGCTAGATTTGTCATACAACAGCTAGAAAATCTGGCTATGAGTGGTATTTCTCCAAAACTGGCTATTATTGTCACAAACGCGAAAGTTATGGCTATGTAAGTGTATTTTGCCTAAATAGTTACAATACATGTATTGTCAATTTGTCTATAATGCATCGTTTTTCTAAATTTTCTGCACAAACAATACATACATTGTTTGTTTGATGTGACACAAACTATCACTCATTTCAAGTTTTCGGTGAGATTGTTTGATTGAAATTGTTGTGTTTTTTTTGTTCCAATTTTGTCTCTACCTTTTTATTTGCTTGCTTTTTTATATTACAAACAAAGGGTAAAAGTGACATTTCACCAAAAAGTAAAATAACTTATTTAAATAACACAATAACTATTACATAAACCAAACGATGCAAACTACAATACACCGATTTTCTTATATACATGTATATTATTATGCATGTATTGATGACAATACATATATTTAACTATCACCAAAACCAAACGAACCCTTAATTCGAGATCCACAAACTATATGGCTTAATATGTTGGCCATAGGTTTCACGCTACAAGTTTACAATCATCATGGGTAAATCACTTAATCTTAAGGCCAAATACACTTGTGTAGCCAAAACTTTGACGGTTTTGCCAAATATAGCCACTTTTGGCGAAATACCGAAAATAGCCAAATATTTGAAAGTTTGATGACAATAATAGCCATTTTCGTTACATATTTTGATGGCGTTAGTGACACCGTTAGTCGAATTAACGGAATGATGATATGACTGCCAACTCACCTTACACATCATCGACAACTCACCAACACTTGCCACATGGATGCCATGTCATATTTTAATTTAAAAACAAATGAAAAATCATAAAAATACAATAATCGAATTTACTTTTCCGGCCTCGTCCACCGAACTGCTCGCCATAGCTGGAGGATTACAACCACTGCAATCTGCCAAAAGGAAAAAGACAGAAACTTTCCTGAAAACCCAACATCATTACACATGAACCCATTTTCCTCTGTTCCGCTATGTTTTCTCAAAGACAGGACTATTAAGCTTCAAAGAGGTCTACAATCAGGTTTGGAGGAGGGACGCTCCGATCCGCCGATGTACACAACAAAATCACAGGCCTTCGACTGCGACGACTAGGGAAGCTTCGGCGGCGGAAGCATCTCCTTGTGCGACCGGGGATCCGCCGCCAACTCTTCGCTTTGGAAGTTGCAGTATGATCTGGGTTCCGCACCTTTAGATCTAGGTTCATTCCTCCCCTGGCTCTCTCTCCGGTGATCATGCCTGGAGCGGCTCGGCAGATGGAGTTTCCGACACAAAGAACGAAAGAAGCTAGAAGGACCAGTTCAGATTTCCCTTCTCTCTCTTCTTCTCGACGGAGAATGACGGACGAGGCAGTGGTGTCGACTTTTCCATATCTGTATTTTGGTTTGCAGGGGTTTTTGGTGATGGTGGATGGTGGGTCGAGGGCACGAAGAATCCAGAAAACAAAGGTTGTAATTTGAATCGAGGGAATGGAGCGTGAGATCTGAACATCCTAGACAGACCGAGAGAGAAGAGGGGAATGGCGGAAGGTTCTCTAACCTTGGATAAAGCCCAGGGGTCACGAACGAAAAGCTGCTTAATCAGAGGGTGTTGAGAGGGGATCTGTTTTCTGCGGGAGAATTCATCATCGTCTGCATCTCACCAATGAGCTGGTAGAGCTGGCTCCACATAAGGAGCTTTTGATCGTAATCCTGGGCGCCATAGCCCAATTGATCGAAAGACGAGGCTTAGGGTTCCTTCAGGGAGTGAAGACTTCAACGACGAAGAGGAGGGATCGAAGGAAGAGGGAATCAGTTCGAAGGGAAGGAGTCGAAGGAAGAGGGATCGAAAGAAGAGGGAGGATTTTTTTTCGCCGACGGTGAATGGGGATTCTCGATTAATTGTACAGGGATAAGGGGGAGGAGATGAGATTGGAGAAGATGAGGGAGAGAAGGAGATTTTTCATTTTTCATTTTTGGTTTGATTTTTTATATTTTAAAGTTAAATCCACATGGCATTGTTATTTACAAAATGTTGTCTTTTTTTTTAGATAAGGGTGATATAGGTTAATTTTTTATTATTAGGTACTACTTAAGGGACTTGAACCTGAGACCTCCAGGTTCATGGCTAGTGGTATTACCACTAGACCAATCCCTTGTTCGTTACAAAATGTTGTCACGTCAGCTTTTCCGTTAGTCCAATCAGCACGTTAATTAACACCGTCAAACAATTGAACGGAAGTGGCTATTTTTGGTATTTTGCCAAAAGTGACTATATTTGGCAAAATCGTCAAAATTTTGGCTGCACAAGTGTATTTGGCCTGATCTTAACATATGTGTTTCATATATGGAAGAATTATTTTTAACAATTCTTTGAAAAGCAAATATTTTTTTGTCATTCACATATTAAGTAGACACTAGACACCTCAATTACCAATCCATTGTCGCAGACATCCTCGATTCCTCATAAATTTTAATTTTCAACAAATAGTATTGATAATTGTTTGTCTTAGGTATAAAATTAAAACATAACGGTTGTTAACCTAGATAGAAAAACAAAATTAAAATATGATAATAAGTCAAGCTTGGTTCAATCGAATGCCATTTGAATCATATGCAACTTAATCTTTATTTATTATGGTTCGATTGCGTTGGCATTTTTTTCCAATCACAGTTTACTAGCCCAAGCTTGCCAATAAAGACGGAGTGATATTAGTTATTACCAAAACCCCAATAAAAAAACTTCCCAACTCCATAATATTACAATTCTGCCCACAGCCCCACACACTCCCACGTATATGCCACATCTTATTATTACAAGGCAACTGGGGGGCAGTTCCGTAAAAAAACACCGCCAGAAACTCAGAAAGTCGCCTTCTTCAACGAAGTCAACGTGATCTTCGCCCCCAACGGCGACGTTCCGACCTCGATATCAAACGAATCGTACCTCCTAAACAGTTCCACGACAAACAACCTCGCCACCATGACCACAAAATCCTTCCCGGCGCACTGCTTGTTCGCCACGCTGGCCCGCTCCGTCTCCGGCCCGTTCGACCACATCACGTGCGAAAGCAGCTCCTCTCCCTCCCCAACAAACCGGTCGGGTACGAACTCCTCGGGTCGGTCAAAAATCTTCGGGTCCTTAGTAGCAAACGGCTGGTACCCGAACAGCATCTCCCCTTCCTTCACCTCGTACGCCGCGTCGTGGCTCTCCAGCACGAAATCCTTCTTCGCCTTCCCGTACTGCAGCGACACCGGCGGATCGATACGCAGCGTTTCGTACACCACGGATTTCATCAGCGGCATCTTCTCCATCGCCGCCATCGTGATTCCACCGCCGCCGCCGGCGGTAGCGGTCCGGATCTCCCGGGCGAGTCGGGTGTGGACCTCCATCCCCACCCGCCCGATCCACTTCATCAAGCTCGGGAACAGGATCTTGAACCCGCCCCACGAGTTGAAGCAGATCGCGAACAAGATGTTGTGGCAGGCTTCCTCCCTCGAGATCCCTGATTGCTCGGCCTCGTCGAGGAACGTTCCCGCGGCGGAGGAGAAGAACTCGTAGAGGCGGTTGTAATCCTTCTGTACGAGCGTGGGCGGGAGGCGGACGGAGTGGAGCGTGGCTTCCTCGACCTCCTTCGGCAGCCCGACGGAGAGGATCGGGGCGAGATTGAACAAGACCCACTTCGAGATCAGCGTCGGCGCGTCCTTCCCCAACGCGGTGTCGATCGGCCTCACGCCGAAGAAGGCGCGCGAGAGGAAATTGAAAGCGGCCTGCTCATTCGGGTCGGCGAACTCTGCTTTCCCTTTCGTCGCGATATCGTACTCCAGCACCTCGAAAAGCTCGGTGAAGGCCGAATTGAACTCGGGGATCACGAATTCGCGGCGGGATTTGATCAAATTGAAGAGCAATTGCTTGAGCTTGGCGTGATTGGACTCGGAGGGGTCGAGGTAGGACAGGATTCGGTACCCTCCGGTGAGATCCGTGGAGGGCATGTAGGTTCCAGTGAAGAGATCCTTCTTCTCGACTTTGGACAAATCGAAGAGGACGGGGAAGCTCTTCCCGTCGAGGAGGACGATGACGCGAGGGTTGGTGGAGATGAAAGGGCCCGGGGGCATGTTGACTCGGTAGACCGTTGACTGGTACTTCTGCATTCGGGATTTGAAGAACTCGTTGCGGCCTTGGTTGTAGAAGTAATCGAGGCGGTCTTGTATGGGTCCGACTCCAGGGAGGCCGTAGTCGCCTGGAATCTGTCGGATTGGGAGATTGGTTTCGGGGGACGATGACGGGGCCGGTTTGGTCAAACCTGGGATGGAGGAGAGTGGGGATTTGTCGAATATGGAGGCTTTGATTGGGCGGAGGGAGGAGGGGAATCTTCTGGCGGTGGTGAATCTGTGGGAGGGTGGAGTGGGTTTCGGGGATTGTTGGAGCTTTGGGTTGACGGCGGCGAAGTTGAGAGCAGAGGATGCCATTTTTTCCCCCGTTCGGCCGGTGAAATGTCTACCGGAGCAAACGGTGAAAGGGGGAAAAGGTGCTTTTGGATTGGTGACCGGTGATAGTGGAGAAAAAGCTTTTGAGCAGCCAATTATTTATAGGGGGACTTTAGTGGAGTGGTGGGCTCCATGGTTAGCACTATGGAGTGTGGACGGACTCCGATGTTTTTCCGAGCCCGTGAAAGTGATGCTCGGAAACAAAGGATTTTTTTAATGTTTTTGGGAAGGTGAATTAGGGTGTGTTTACTTTTCTCCCATTTCCCCCTCATATTTGAGAAATTGTTTGGGTTATTGTCTTTATATTTTGCCGTGGTGGAATAAGAAATTTAAATGAGGCTGATTTGAATTGTGGTAATTGGGAGAGGATGAATAAAAATTTATTGATTATTATAATTTTTAAATTTGCACAAAAATTATATGTAATGTTATCAATATTTCAAATTTGAGGAGGCTATAATATCTCTTAGCTCCGCCACAGTTAACGGGTAACTTGTATACATCATTTTAGTTTTGTGGAATTTGAATCAAAATGATGTATGGTTTTGGCATGTGACATGTTGTGATATTTCACCATTTAAAGAAAGAAAGAATGAGTTAATTGAAATGTCTATAGCCAGGGAAGGAGATATTTCAATTGTCTCATTATGCAGCATTTCAATTGTCACGGCTCCAAAATATCACAAGCCACCAAATGATATGTTTCAACTGAAATAAATCATCCAAATGTTGCCTCCAAATGACCCCTAAAATATTTTTGGTTAGATTATTTTTATTTGATGGCTAGAACTTTTTGAAATCCCTATATTATTCAAATTTTGAAAATAATTAGTTTGGTTTAGTTCGATTTTCAATTGAGCGTCAACTTTAATCTTAGGGTTAATATTAATGTTTGCCAACAAAGTCGTGCTCGACTAATTGTGCCCCTGATTTTCAACACGTAGCCCCCAAATTTGAATTCCAAGGACCATGCTCATTTCCCTTTTTCCCAACCTTCTGGTAGCATCTCCAACGAACAAATTCTCGTAAAACATAAATGTATGGTGCAAATTTCGAGTCTTCTAATAACATCTCTGACTAATAGATTCTTGTTAAAAAATATGGTGCGAATTTCGAACGGAATAATAAATTACGTAATTATGTTTTGGACAACTTATGAGTGTTCGGTACACCATTCAATGTTCAAATCTTCGGACCACATACATATTTTCATTTATCGACTTCTACCGCCGCCCATCTTCAAATGTCACCTTTCCTACATATGAGACTATGAGTAGCTAGCTGCAAACAAGAAGCTATAGCGTATAAGAAAAGTTTTTATGCGAATACATGGAAAAGTTTGATTCGTAGATCTATGTACATAGTACGGTAGTAGCAAACTGCAATTTATACTGCTTTGAGGGAAACTTTTGTATTAGCTGGATTGGATATAATTACTTCTAAGTTCCAAAATCAATGAGAAGTACAGTACTTGCACATGTTAATCAATGAATCTCTCATACATTCATCTTTTTAACTCATGAAACTCTTTGTCTCGTTTCAAAAATTAACCCGACCAAGAAGGTAAGGGTAAAGTAAAGGTACAAGCCGCTCGTTAAAAGAAAAGCCCCACAAACACAAATGATGCTGCCCAAGTACAAGTATAACTATTCAATTTGCAACCACTTATCGTTTATTTTCAATATTCGAATCTATAATTATAGGGCTAATACCACTACAACACCCGAACTATCTGGAAAATGCCACTTGTGTCCTGTTGTTTCCAATATTCCATTCATGTCATGAACTATTATATTTTGTGCCATTTGTATCCTGCCAATTTCGTTGACCGTTAAACATAACAGTTGACCAAACGGCGGTCAACTTAACATTGACTTTTGCTTACGTGGCAATGCCAAGTCATTGACACCTCACATTTTTTAAAAATAAAATAAAATTGCTTTCTAACAATAATAAATTAATATTATTTTCATATTTGCTTTATCTAATAAGAAAAAAAAATTTAAGAAAATAAATCAAGTAATTTGGAACCCTATCACCATCACTCCATCACCACCCGTTACCTCTGCAAGAAATGCGTCGGGCAGATCATCACTGTCCCCATCATCGCGGAGGTCGATCTCAACAAATTTGACCCATGGGGAGCTTCTCGACAAGTGATTAGGTTAAGAAATTTGAGACCGTGAAAGAAAATCAAAGATCTTACAATTTTGAGTTTAAACCCTGTTTTTTATTTTTTGGCAGAGATGCACTGTACGTGTATGGTTTGAGAAAGATTGACAGCGGCGGGGGATGAGGATTGAGGAGGACGTGATTGCATCTCAGCTTCACACTCATCTTCTGCTTCCTGGCCGGCTCCTCCGTATCTTTCTGCATCTGTTGGTGATGTCAAATAGGAAGGGGGTTTTTAGATCTGGGGTAGAAGGGGTTGTGATATTGACAGATATGGAGATTTGGGGTTTTGTTTTGAGTTTCAAATTTGGGCAAGCTTTGGGTTTGATGAGAATGGGTTTGGGAAGAAAAAGAACAGGGTTGTCTCTATTCTCTTGATTCTATTTCTATTCGTGGAATTCAGTTCGAATAAGGTTTCCGGTGAATGTGAGATTATGAAGAGGGAGGAGGTTTTCTACGCCCAGAAACCAAAGATTGTGGATCGAGGACACCCAGTTCACATCTCGGAGATCGGGTGGCCTTCCAGCGGTGCCGACGACTCGTTCAGATTGCTTACGCCTCCCGCACCCGATTTCGCCTCCCTCGATGAGAAAATCGCGCCTGCCAAGCTGAGGGACTCACCATCCTCATTGATTTTGACCGATAGCAGCAGCACAACAGTGAACGCCGGACTGGAGGGGGGAGAAGCATATATAGGGATTGGAATTCGATGAAGCAGAGAAGCAGCGAGAGGGAGTTAGTGGAGGCGGTGGGAGAAGGGGAGTTGCTAGGGAGAGGGAGTGAATCGTCGATCAGGAGAAGAAAAGTAGGGTCGCCAGTGAATCGTCGATCTGGAGAAGAGACTCGTCGATTTGAGTTATTGTTTTATTTTTGTAATTTTCCATAATTTTTATTTTGTTTTCCTTATTTTAATTATTTTAGATGGAAAAATAATTGAAAATTGATAATAAAAATTCCACATAAGATGCCACGTCAACGCTGACTGGATTTTCTGTTAAATACTAATGGTCAACGTCTGTCAACACTAACGAAATAATAGTTCAGGACACAGATGGAATATTGGAAACAATAGGACACAAGTGGCATTTTCCGGATAGTTCGGGTGTTGTAGTGGTATTAGCCCATAATTATAAATGTCCAATCTATCATACTAACAATTACCAATCGCGCTGTAAGAGAAAAAACAATTACCAATCACTGAACACGAACTTGGAAAGCGCTAGTTAGAAAATTAAAAGAAGGCAATAAAAGAATGAAGGATTTCTCAGGGAAAAATCCAAAACTACCATCATTTTTAAAAAATATTACAAAACTACCACCAAACCCAAAAGAATTTCAAAAGTACCACCATTATTCAAAAACCGCACCTCGAATGGGCAGTTTTCCTTCAAATCGCGCATGGAACATGCGGTTTTAAAGTGAATCGCATGCTGAGGCAACAGTTTTCTTTATTTGGGAAAAATGCTATTCGAGGCAGCGGTTCCCATGGCTGCCCTAGCACAAACCGCTTGCTTGGGGTGCGGTTTAGCGTAAGCAATGGAAACCGCTCCTCAATGAAACGATTTATGATGTCAAGGCACAAACCGCAACCCCACCCAGCGGTTTGTGCCTCGTCCCCATTCTCCTACATCCGACACGTCGGCATGCAAGAGGTTGCAGGGGTGGGGGCTGCAAGGCAGACTAAAATCGCTCCCCCCTGCGATTTTTAGTGTCAATTTTTCCTATAAAAGGTAGTCCCAAAAAACTCAAATCTTCACTCATCTCCTTCTTCTACTTCAAATTTCAGTTGTGCATCTTTCATTTTTTTGAATTTTTGCGATTAACGTTAATTCGTAAGTTTGTTTTGTATTACTTTTTATTGTGATTTGTGATTTTTATGGTAATAACTTAATTACGGTTTTATTGCAGATGGCATTCCAAAATTTCAAGCTTGGGTTACGGTGGAATGGTTACACATAAGAGACTGGAAAGGGGGTACTGATTCGGGCTCAAATGTACACATTTTACCCCTCATTTCTTATTCGTTTAGCTTAGTATTTCATCGTTCCTCGACATATTTCACTCTAGGTTGTGCTTGTTTTTATACATTTCAGGTCCTAGCACGTGTGGAAGGGTCGAGGTCGAATTTTGGGATAATTGGAGGTTAAAAAGTGCAAGCACCGAAGAAAAGTCCAAAGTTCCGTGACAATTGCCTCGTAACAGTGAAGTGAAGGCGTCCCAAGAAACAGCCGCAGTTCACGGTCTCCTAAGACCGTGAACTTCGACCACAAAGTGTGAACACCGAGGCGTCCAACGAGGTTCCTGAAGTTACTGACGACAAGGCAGTTCACTATCTCTAAGACCGTGAACTGTGGCCATTGACCGTGAATCCAGGAAGCAACGCGGTGCGTTTTGGAGGCGACTTAGTTCACGGACGCGTTTAGGTATTCACGGCCGTGAACTGGCCAACGCGTCCGTGAACTGATCACTTTCGGGCAAATATGAAGACCGCAGCGGGGAGAGAGAGATAGGAGCTAGTTTTTGGGAGAAGAAACACTTTCTTTCTCTAGGGTTTCAACCTAAAACACCAAAGGGGATTTCTAGTGAGAGAGAGTGCTAGAGTGACCTTGGGTCATCATTGGAGGCTTGGGTGGAGATTCAAGCCTAGAAGAAGAAGAAGAAAAAAAAGAAGAAGATCTTGAGCTCAAATTTGTAATCCCTCTCTCTCTTTATCTCTCTCTCTTTAGAAACTCATTCTTTTCTCTTGGGTATTGTAGATCCCTAACTAATACTTTGTAACTACTTGTTTAGATTGAATGATTGTTATTGGG